GAAGCCTAAAAGGAGCAAGCCCAGACCGAAACCCTGGTGAGAAAAGGTCCAAACCCCAAAAGAAGTAAAGTGACTCCGAAACCGTAAAAGAAGTGAAAGGTAAGCTTGAAAGAATCCCGAAACCCTAAAAGAGTAAACCCTGGCCGAAGCCCAAAAAGGAGGCCCAAAACGTGGAAGTTTTTTTTGCCAGCCGTGGACGGCTAGCAAACAAGGGCTTTCGCTCGAGACTGTTGTTTCGCAGCAAGTAAAAAGACGCAGGTGACACAGGAAACAAGACACAAGTGACCCACAAACAAACGATCGAAGTAATGGGGCACCCTTGAGTTGCACTTCCAGTCCCATAGCACTTCCAGTCCCACAGCCCTTTGAAGTGTTTAGGGTTTAGGGGTGGTGTCGTTCTGAAGGTTTGTGGCCTGGTCCATGCCTTCGCGCCTCTCGCCTGCGCAACAGCCTAATATAGGGGCCTTAATAATTAGAAGAGGGTTTGGGGTATATTATACTATAATTATAATAAGGAACTCCCAAAACCCTATTCTAATTATTTAAGGCCCCTACATTAACATGGAGAGAAGGCTCTGGCCACCCAAATCGGAACCTCGAAGCCCGGGTGCCCTACAAAGAAGAAATTGCCGGGGTTCGTGCCTGTCGTAATGTGTCTACCAGGGTGCCTGCAAGCCTTCTTCCGCACCATTCCGGGATGCTACGGAAGCAGCCTCTAGCATCTCGTCCAGGGCCTTGGGAGCTCCGTAAAAGTAAAGCCTCAACGCCCTGGAGCAACAAGGAATTACAGCACGCTGACGGACGGACTCCACGAAGCTGCCGTGGCAATCCTTCAGCAGCTTTCGGAAGCTTCTCGCCAGCAGTGATCCAACGCCCTGCGCCCTATAACCGGAAGATCCACAAGCTCCAAACCCCGAAGCCCTAAACCCTGAACTTAAAAGAAAACCCTTATAAATCCTAAGCCCTAGGCCCTAGGCCCTAACATGCCAACATCCACAACCTCCTATAAGACGAAGGCAAACACCGCTAAGACAGGGGGAGTTTACATGGGATATCCCTATCCTAATTTTGTCTTTTTCCGCGCCCTATGAACCCTAAACCCTCAACCACTAAACCCTGAGCCCCTAAACCGCTAATCCCTAAACCCATAGACCCTAAACCCCCGTAAGCCCTACCCATAGGCCCCTAAGTAGTTCCTTCTTATGGGTTTATGTTTAGAATCCCATAAAGTACTCCCAAAAAGGAACTACTTAGGGGCCTATGCCATAAGCCCTAGACCCTAAACCCTAAACCCTAAACTCCCTAAACCCTACACCCTAAACCCTAAACTCCCTAAACCCTACACCCTAAACCCTATAGACCCTATAGACCCTAGACCCAAAACCCTATAGACCCTAAACCCTACACCCTAAACTATAGACCCTATAGACCCTAGACCCAAAACCCTATAGACCCTAAACCCTACACCCTAAACCCTATAGACCCTATAGACCCTAGACCCTACACCCTAAACCCTATAGACCCTAAACCCCTAAACGCCCCTCAGCACAGGCTTTGGATCCTCCTGGCGCTCCCGAGCCCTTGGAGCGCCGGATCCAAGGCGCCCGAACTGCTCGGGTGCAGGGACCCTTGTGGCCGCGTCCCTTAAAGGACGCCTTGAAGGGAACCTTTAAAGGGATCCTTTAAGGGACGCCTTAAGGGAAACCTTAAGGGATCCTTTAAAGGAAGCCTTAAAGGATGCCTTACCCTGAACGGATCCCTTCAAGGAAGCCTTTAAGGATCCCTTACCCTTAAAGGACCCCTTCAAGGAAGCCTTAAAGGATCCCTGAAAGGATCCTTTGGAGGAAACCCTAACGGATCCCCCTTCAAGTATGCCTTAAAAAGACACCCTTAAGGGTTCCTACAGGTTCTATAACTTTGCTAAAGGGTGTTTGGGGTTTAGGGCTTTTCGGGCTTTATAGGGTTTGTTGTGTGAGGGTGTTAGAGTTTGCGGTTTACGGTTACAGAGTGAAATTCGGTTGAATACTTTGTGCTGGAGGTTTAGGGTTTGTACGATTTAGACTTTGAGGCAACCCTGAACCCTAACCCGAAGCCCTAAAACCCTAAACCCTAATACAGAACCCTCAACCCTAAACCCTATAATTAATACTGAAATAAATACTGAAGTCTAAACCGTAGAGTGTGGCTTTCGGTTTGAACTTAGGGCTGGGCTTGGCAAGGCTAGAGTCCAGAGATCATATCTACATGGACCCCAGACAGTGGTTCGAGGGTTTAGGGTTAAGGGCTTGGGGTGGATCCTAATGTTTTGACCATCCTTAGACGAAGGCCCCTATTGGGCTTACCCATGAGGAGGCATTCCGATTCCACAAGACTGTGTCGGATAGTGGACTCCCTAAACCCTAAACCAGGCCCTTGTGCCTGCCTTCCAGAGAGTGGATTCCGCTGACCTTAACTGGGGGGAAAAAGGTGCTTTAAAACAACTAAACCCTACACCCTAGTCTTCAGTGGAGCCTTCAGTGCAGTGGAGCTCTTATCATCGAAGCGTTCAGGTCTGCAAGCACGTGGTTTGTCACCTTGGGATTCCTAACCGGCGCTCCGCCAAGAAACAGCATGCATACATACCGTGCGTCCATACATCTGCCCATGCACGCATGCATATATGCACGTACATACAGAACCTAACAAAGCCTAACATGATAGATGAGCTTCATAAGCACAGCTTGCAGGATTGAAGTGTTCAGGTATCCAGGTTCTTGCGAATGGAGCTCGCCAGGTCCAGCTCAGCTGTGTTACCTGGAAATCCTTGTGCCGAGGATCCTTGTGTTAAGGGCCTGGTGGTCCAACATCCAACGTGTACACTGTGGGTTCTTTTCAGCCAGTCCTATATTCAATGTTTAGACTTTCACCCCTTTGGAATTTGCGAAGTTGGTTAACCTACACTGCACCCGACACCCTAATCGGAAGGCAAAGACGGTGTGCAGCCGTCCATTCTCTTCGACCAAGGTGGATCAGACATCCGGTGTAGTGTGAAGCTCAATTTGAGGATGAGGTGTAGGACGTTCTGACAAATCCGGGGCATTGCGGGTTTAGGGAGGTTTAGGGTTTGGTGCACAGTGTGTGCGGGGTTTTCATGCACTCCATGCACGGGCCCTGCATACAGCCGCAGAAGAAATCCATGGATTACACATCAATATCATATTCAGTGACCCTAAGCCCTATAACCCTATACCCAGCTTAGTTAACTAGACGAATCGGGACTGGCAGACTGGTGATTGGCGACGGCCTGGACCCCGAAGTTTGTTACGTTTGCGGGCATGAAACACAGACGTCTTTCAGTCAAAGACAAACCTGGGGTTTAGGGTTTAGGGCTTAGGGTCTATTTAGGGAAGAGAATCGCAAATGCTCACAGATCGCATCAGCGCCAGGGCAAGCCAATGAGGAACAAGAAGCCTGCAATGTGATTCCCCCATCCACGGTGTAAGAACCACCCATAGGCTCCATTATGGTTCCTTTTTGTGGTTTGTACTTAGGATCCTGTAAGGTACTCCCAAACAGGAACTACTTAGGAGCCTATGGGTAGCTTGATCACTCCCCATTGCATCATTATGTGGACTTCATTTCGAGCCCAAGCCAGCCAAAGCATGTCGATTGCAGGGGACGTCTTCGTAGTGCACAAACCTCCGGGCTGGAATGTCTCCGTCAGCTTCGACGAATTGGACCAGAAGAAGGCCGACATTCAGACTTTTCGCACTTAGGAGGAACATGGCCAGTAGAAATCTGCGAGTGCAGACAGTGCAGCTGCATGTTGAGGGTCAGAGCACTTTGCAAGTAGGGTCATCTCTGACTCCAAGTCAGACATTTTATCATTCCATGATTTTCCCCAATTTACATACTTCGGACTCTGCTGACGAATTCGTCTGATCCTCTACACAAGAGTGTAGGTACCGAGGGCTTTCACACTGGGATCGAATAGGAGGACGAGTTGTAGCGTTCGGGACTCTGGAATGCATCTGGCTCTAAGGTTTAGGGTGTAGGGTAAAGCGTTTACAGTGTAGGTTTTGGCCATTCTGGTGTAAGTGGCGCGAGAAAGCTGGCGAAGACCAACGAAGCCAAACAGTCACAGCTTGGGTTCTGAGATTCTGACAGCATCCTACATAAGTTTCCGAAACCCTAAACCCCAAACCCTAAACCGTCACATCTTGAAGCCTTTCACAGTTTACATCCGAGGGAAGAGCTGCCCAAGCTGAGCTCCATGATGGTTGGGTCGCAGGTAAGTTGAATGCCCGAGGCTGTGGATCTTTTACGCTTTAGGCTTCAGCGTTCAGCCTGGATCTTTTATTCTTTAGGTTTCAGTGTTCAGCCGCATCGGCTGCTGCCTCGAAGTTCGTGGATTCAAGCCCCAAACATAGGACACCTGAAATCCAACACCCCAAAAACCTTAGCCTTAAGCCCCAAGCCCTTCTCGGGTTGGAGGCCGTTATCTCAGAGTTAGAAGTAACTTATAACACAACCTCAATGAAGGCACTTCTAGTCCCATGATCCTTCATGTAGGATTTGTGAAGTCCCTCCTCCTTTCAAGCAGCCAGGACGGTCTGTGCTTTGGGATGTCGAGCTGGGAGGATCTGCTTCAATACCCTAAGGTTCCGAAAGCCCTGAACCGCAAACCCTAAACCCTTTAAGCCTTAAGCCCCAAAGCCTAAGCAACACGAAGCCCCAAGCGGCCAAAAAAGCCTCGAACGTCCGAAGATTGAGCATTTTGCCCTGGCAGGCGAAAGAAAGGAGGGAAGCCGAGGTGGGGCTAGCCCGTGCGCAGTGCTTGCAGAGCAGCCCTTTCTTACGCACCCCTTTCCATGTTCAAAACGGCACATCTTTACCCTATAGGCCAAACCCGCACCCATGCAGACCCAAGACCCTGTGCAGCCGAGGCCAAGATGCTTCCCGCAGTAGATGGCACTAAGGCCCAAGATCAGCAGAGTCCGAAACAGAACCTCTGCCCAGCCATGGCACCGCATCAGATCATCCTCCTCTGCTCCTTGGCTTTGCCAGCTTGGGCTGGGATTAACATCCCAGCGCACGAGCGTCAGTGCGATGGGGCCACATGGGTATGCAGAATCGTCTGCAGTCAAGGCATGCTCGGAGGCAAAGGCCAGAAAGCAAACTGGTGCGTCGCAAAGCATTGCACCAGGCAAAAAGCCGTTGCTGCGAACATGATTGCGGCCGGCCAGGACTATTGCTCCAAGAACACTTGCTTCATCCAGGAGACCGAAGCGATCGGCTTGTTGCAGAGGCCCCAGCAAGGCCGACTGGCTTTAACCCAGGTCAATGCCACCACCGATTGCCTTGACGAGAAGGCAGTGTGCGGCAAGTTCTGCGATGGATTGAACTCTCCCAAAGACTTCTGCATGCCCAAGTGCCTCGACAATGTGCATGTCATCGCAGATGCCATGAAGGAGTACTGTGATGAATGTGGTTCGCCACCGGACTACACGACCACCACAGAGAAGGAGTACAAGACAACAACGGAGAAGACCACGACCACGGAAGAGCCGACGACCACCACCGAGGAGCCCACGACCACGACCACGGAAGAGCCCACGACCACGACCGAGGAGCCCACGACAACAGAGAAGCAGTACAAGACGACAACGGAGGAGGAAGAGACCACCACCCCTGCGTATCCTCCCAAGAAAGATGACGATGACGATACCGACGACAAGAAGAACGACGACAAGGATGGTCGCCGCCGCCGCAAGGACGACGGTCGCCGCCGCCGCAAGGATGACGA